CCGTGTTTCTTGTGTGCATGTGTGGAGGAGTGTTTTCAAGGAAATCTATCGGTCATTTTATTATATAGATCTAATAACTCTGAAATTGAATAACTCCGGAACACCCCTCTCCTCTCCCTTATAGATCCGCGCATACGTATATGCATCATTTTACATGTATATCTAAAGAAAAGTGTCCGACCCAATGTCAAATGTGTCCGAAATTCTATTACATCTGAATGCATTTTGAGGTACAATACCGTGGTGATCCAAATAAACACATAGGATATATAAGATAGCAATGCCTTTCCAATACATATTTTGGATCCTCATTTACTATTAGATGGTTTTCCTACATGTACCGGCTTTCTAAATCATATCTAGGGTGATCAGACATAGCATGGATCGGACAGCTTTAACAAATTAAATCATTAGGGTGAAAAAATTAGATTCAAAGGATTATTAGTTTAGAGGGGAATTCCTGCGGAAGTGATGTAAAAATGTTACTTAAAGGGGTGACAATTAAACAGAAAGAATAAAGCTTTTGAAATATGAATAGTCCAGGACATATTTTATTTGTCAATCTATATTATATACTACCTATTTTAATACTACAATAAACGTGAAATTGGGACAATTATTTTGTTAGAAAAGGCCCTTCACTAAAGACTGGTAGATTAGCTGGTTTAGCTTCAATTAATAAAATAAAATGTGGCAAGGTGGTAATTTTGACGGAATCGAGGAGTAGGAGGAGAAGAGCAGTGATGAAAAAGTTTATTTAATCTAATAAAAAAGTAGAGGAAGGTCTCCAAACATAATTTGACCCTGCCCCTTTCCCGGGTACTACTCTTCTGAATGTGCATCTTTTCTTTGTGCGATTTTAAATGATATTTTTATAAACACATGAAACACATATTGGAGACGAGAAACAAAACAATCATTTACTGATATAAATACTTGAACTGTTCAACAATATAACAAAGAATAAACATACGCACTGTTTCTTATGCAGTACATTCTCATGTATGCGTTTCGAAATTAAAATGCATGTGTTACGCTGTTCCGCTACGATAGCCCCCCCCCCCCCCCCCCCCCGACCAATAAAACCACACACAAATGGAAGCGATAGTACATAATAAATAAAATTAAAAAAAAAATAACATGATTCTGCTTTTTGGGCAAGATACATGTCTGATAGGAAAAAAAAAAACTAAATTCAAATACGTGTATTTAGGGGAGGGGGTCAAGATTTTTTTGTTGTCTAACATCGATAATTATTGTACATGAAACTTTATGTAAATATTTATATGAATCAACAATTATAAGACATACCATTTATTTACAGTTTATAAATAATAGTATGTTATAATTAAATTTCACTCAACATTCATCATATTTACTTTTGAAAGGGAGGTCCTGTTGAAAACTATGTGAATTGGGTTTTATGTTAGAAACACAGGCACTTGTTTCGGTAATAAATTTTTGACCTATAGTATAATATAATAGCACTTGTTTCGGTAATAATAACTTGTTTTGGTATGTGCTAATCCCGGTAAGAGATTTTGATTGGCTAAAAATCTGCTTCTAAAATTACATCGGATAAACATCGTAATGTTTTCAGGGAAATCAGACTTAAACAAATTCTTTTTATTCACTGCAATATTTAAACACTGGAATTGAATTATTAAAACCACTCATTTCTTAACTTTTTTCTCTGTCCAGGATTAGCACATACCATTTCATGGGTTAAATCGACTTTTCCACTCGGCGAGCAGAGATTTGACGCTGTTTACAGAGATAAAAGAAACTAAAGACAAACATGTTATATATGGTTGTGTAGATAAATTATCGTAGAAGACATAGGTATAAACAGTTTGCCAGTGCGTTTCCTCTGAAAGTGTAAATGAGTGCGATTCTGGGGGAGGGGGGTACTCCATGTAATTCGGAGTTGGATACCTTGCGTTATTATTATACTATGGGTCAAAAATTTATGCCCCGACGTACTCTTATTGAGTGAAACTTTTGTTTCCCCAAAATAAATCAATCCGTAGAGAGTACATGCAATGCCATAGACGATGGTAGAAGCTTTAGAAGTCGAATTTTCACCAATTTTAGTAAAAAAAAAAATTTGTCCCGTAAGACTGCTATTAAACAAAGTGTCTGTGATAAAAATTTCACAGGTTTCGCATTTTTAATAGAACATTTGAAATGGAACTCATGGGGTCCAAAAAAGAATTGTCAAAAATATCTGTGATTGAAAATTTACAATCTTTAATTTTAATTAAGGTTTGGTTTGTTTTATACCAAAACTATTTATGTTAAATATTATAATTGAATATGTCTGTAAGGGCCTTAACTCTTTCTTGGAAATCTACATAACTGCTCCAACAATCAAGTCTTAACCATATTTTTCACTGAGTGATATACAAACGACAGAAAGTAATTTTAACTGAAATTCTTAGATCATAGCATTTACACTAATTTTCTCTACGAATTACTCTGTTTAATTGATCACTACAGAGGGTTTACTGCTAGTGTGACTGGTTGAAAGGAGATGTTAAATCCTCCTAAGGACCTAATCTTCTCTCTGTTTTTCCAGGTGTTCCTGTATTTGTCCTGTTCACGATTAATATTGTTTAAGGATTTAAGATCACTGTGCGTTATCTTAACCTTTTTTTTTAATTTAAGGATTTTTTTTCTGGTTTTATGTGATTAGTTGGTGTGTAAATCACAGACGTGTCAGGTAGGTATAATTTGCAAAACGCTTTTGCATGTCATAAAAGTATGCCTACATGAAAGTCTGACTGATTTACACACCAATAATTCACACAAAACTATAAACACATTTATTTCTAATTTTTTCATTTAACATGTTTTACAGCATCAAAGATATACTCAAGGTTTGAATTTTTCGCTACTCTATATTGTACTATTTTATTAGAGTCTCATAGCCTAATTAAGCGCATATATACGATGCATATTCATGAAGATGCCATTCAATTCAATTTCATAGTTTAAAAAAATTAGCAAAAGTGAACATATAATATAACTGAAGGAATCTCAGTTAGTGTAAGTTAAAATTTGTTCAAATCATGGCCACCAGTGGACAGGAAGGGTCACAATAGGTAAGTTTGTACATGGTTAGATGTAGGGAATTTAAAATAAACGCTACGGAATACTCATAATTCTTATGAAGCAAAACACCCCCATCCCCCATCCCCCAAGTGGAGATTATGTGGTCCCTTGGATGCGTTTAGACCAAATGATAAGAGTTTTATATTGAAAAAAGAAACCTATTTAAAGTATCGGGGATTTAGTAAACCAAAATAATATTCGAATTCGCAATTTAGCTTTGCCCCAACTATGAACTCTAAGTAGTGTTCAGTAAAATCGATGATCATTTTTTATGAAGGAAGTATATATGGTATAGGAAAACCTTCCCCCTAATCATACTAGTCATGTTGACATTGAAACTTATCAATGTTGTATAGATTCAAGTATGGTTAAGTCACAAGCCGCTCAGGTAATGATGGGGTCACAATATAGGGTCTTTTTTCATTGCATAAAAGAACAAAACATTTTATAATAGTTTTCTGATGAAGAACAGCAGGAACAATATGAATCAGGAATCAAGATTTTGAATCATGAGTCTCTCAATTTTCAACTTAATGGATTTATTTTAAAGGTACATTTTTGTCAAGTGAGATTAAATGTTACATAGTGAATGCTTGTGTTGCTAATTCCTTGATGGTATTTTTAAACATTATTCTCAAATTTGTATTCTTTTTATGAATTATCATATGATTTAAAATACACAATTATTATTACAGATTGCAAGTGATATTAAAGATAAGGCATAGGGCATAAATTTCAAGTGATTCGAATTTGATGTATTTTATTTATGTATAGTTTTATAATGAGAAAGGTGAAGATAACGAACAGTGGTCAATCTCAAAAATCTATAAACAGTACAAATATCTGAAAAGGGCATAAAACACCGACCACTGGGAATTCCAGAGGTGAAATCAGATGCCTAGGAGAAGTAAGCATCCCGGTCTCACCCACACGTGATCCCTATGTATAGATCAGGTAGATCAAACATTCTGTAGTCAATTTCAGTTAAAAAAAGAAAAAAAGTCTAACAAATGGTTTAGAACATGTCAGCCAACATACGACCTAATGACAGGTATTATATGATAACAAGGTCATTATAACGACCATAGAGTTTACGAAATGCTGACTTTAATGGAGATTGTTGAAATCCATGTTACATCAACTTATCTGTTAGAAGCCTGTCCAGGTTTAAAAATTGATCGTACTCAGAGCATGCTCGTAAATATCGAATAAGTTGTGAGATGTAAACATATGCAGGTAAAAGTGGGATATTACAAAATAAGGAAAGTTGGCGATGGTAAAACTGAGGTCATCGAATTTGTTTTTTAATCGCTTTACCTTCTTATATTTTCAGATTACATTTATCTGTAGGTGCCTTTTTCTGGTAACTAATTCCTTTGAATTTCAATGTATAAAGCCTTACATGTGTTTTAAAATTAAATGCAATACATGTACATTTATTTATATAAGGGCGTAAGTTTTTTTTTTTTTCTGAGGAAACATCTTTCTTTTGAACACAATACTCTCAGATGAAGTCTTTCATCTCATTGGGAGGTGAATTTTCCTACAACATGTATTATTATCAAAATTACTTTAAAAAAAATTCAAGCTTTAATTTCATTTTCAGCTAAAATTTTAATTAAGTTCTCCTAACTTACTAATTTGGAACAGAAACCAACGACTTTGCATGGCAAATTCTATTAGGTTCAAATAATTTCATGTGAACTAGTTGTGCAATTTAATTTACACACGTCAACCGAGATTTGAATGTTAACTTTTTGAAGTTCAAAAAGGCATTTAGCCAAGTTGTTAATAAATTTCCCATTTTATTAAAATTGTTATATTGATGTTGGTCTTACTCTCTGTTTTTAAAGCAATTTTACAAACTTTAGATTTCAGAATATCGCAGAAGGAATGGAAGGCATATCGGAACCACCAAAAGATCAAAGGAATAGCTCAGATAAAGGAGACACCGTGTGTATTATTAATTTTATGTCATGTGAAACACTTTAAAAAATATATTTGAAATCTGACTGGCAAATACTCAAACGGCTACATCGGCGTTGTATTCCTATCAAATACTTTGGAAAATAAGTTGTAGATCTATTATATAAAAGTTTTACCTAAATAAATGAAGCTGTTATGGAACGGAAGGGGTGGGACTGTTTAGGGAACATCTGTAATGACTGAAGGATTGTAACACTTAAATACCACACAAATTAATCGCAAAATCAAAACTTGATAAATACGTACAGAACACCTCTCTCCATGAATAATTCCTTTGGTGATAGCATAAACTTGCATAAAGAATCAGATGAAATATTTTTAAGTGCATCACATTTGTTGAAGCATCTAAACGATTGCGGTCCGTACCCGGGAATTAAAGCTAATAAAAATTAGATAAATAAGGATATATTAGCATAGTTGAAATGATTTCAAAATTTCAAAATTACAATGTATTTTGTAACGTTTTGCCTTATCATAAAACATTTTGTTTTCAAGTTTTCATAAATATTGTTAGATTACAAGAAATTATGTGATTGAAAATTATACATGATACACTAAGATGAAAAAATAAAACAATTGAAAATGATTACGGGAAATTCGATGATACCAAGCTTTTTTTAAAATGAGGAATATTAAATTTACTTAATATTAGGATATTTACGAAAACACTGCAGACAGCAAAAATGTTAAGGAAAACATTGCTGAAGAAGGGAAATGTAATATAGAATCGAGAAAAAGCATTGAAGACCAAGAAAAAAGCATTACAGAGCAAAAGAAAAGTATAAAAGACCTAGAGAAAATCATAAAAGACCAAGAAAGAACCATTTCACAACAAGAGGAAATAACTGAACAGCTACAGCAAAGTATTAAACAACATGAGGAAAATATTAAGGAACAGAAGACATTAATGGAACCTCGGTGGAATATCATAGAAAATGAAAAGGAAAGCACAAAAGAAAAAGAAATCGACACTAAAAAGAAAAGCACGAAGTCTGGTGATGGCGAGAATGAGATAGAGATCAGAAACAAGGAAGAGAAACGCATTGAGGAAGAAAAGAAAGTCATCGAGAAGCATGAGAAAATTATAGGAGAGCAGAAAAGATGTGTTAAAGAGCTAGAGGAAAGCATCCAAAAGCAAAAGGAATCCATTGAAGAGATCAAAATATACATTACAGTACAAGGGGAAAATATTAAAGAGCAAGAACAAAATGAAATTATCGAAAAGCAGAAGAGATTGCTTGAAAATCTGGATAAAGTAATTGAAGAACGGAATAAAATCATTGAAGAGCTGAATAGGTTTCGTGAAGATCTAATGAAAGTGATTAAAGAACAGAATACAAAAATTGATGAGCTAAAGAAAATCATACTAGAGCAAGGAGATGTAAGTCTTATCACTTCAATGTTTAATATGATAAAATGACTTTATTTACTTTCCCTTAATACAAACGTAAAATATATTCTGAAAGGGGTAGCATGCTTTAACTAAGTTTACTTTTTATAAAGGTTGACATGATAGCAAATGCCGCTTTAATGATTGTACAAGGAATACAGATGGTAAATATCTAATTTATATTTTTTAAAAGCTGTAATTGCAGTTTTAAAATAAAACATGATTCTGGAAGATTTTTTGCAAAAGTTTTTTTTTATTGCAACTCTTTTATTTATTTTTTTTTTCATTGATAAATAATTTTAATTTTATATACATGGAATACAACTTTCTTCATTTTTGTTTGCTTAAAAATCTCTTTTGTACGAGAATCTTCGTAGATCAATGATTTAGAGGTTCAAAGCAAATCCATCTTATATTTGAGCAAGCCTCCCTTTGTTATATCCGGTAGCTATTTCACCGTATTAGTAGTTCTGAAAAAATATTATTTCACTCCACTCAAGTTTGCTATGAAAATTTACATTTCATACAGAGCCATATGCGAATTATGTAAAATCTACATTCATTTAAATTACAATTAAAAAAAAGAACCCTAATACTAATGAATAACGTCAGTTACAATGAAATAAGTGCCGTCTCGGTAGATCAGTATGTAGAGCGCTCGCTCCATGATCGGAAGGTCGTGTGTTTGAATCACGGCCGCGACTGGCCTAAGTCGATAAAAATAGGTAGCAACGGTTCCTTCGCCAAGCGCTCGGCACTTTGAAGTGAAAGTTGCGGGTCCTTTCGATGAGACCTTGAAAAGCGAGGCCCCGTGTCACGGTAGGCGTTGGCACAATAAAGAACCCTCACTGCTCAATGGCCCTGAGTGCCGAGTAAGGGTCTAAATTTGAAGCTCTTCGCCGGTATATGATGAAATCTCTATATGAGTGAAAAATTCTCTAACGGGACGTAAAACAACATACAATCAATAAATCAATGAAATAAATCGACTTCATTTCCTGTTATAAAAAAATTATTGTGTCTTCTTTTTTTTTTTTTTAGGTTATTGCTGCTTTTTTGGTTTCCTGGAGTGATTTGATTAAGAGAAGCAAACCTTGTGAAAGAGGGGAAGCATTGAAGATGCTTGATGTCAATTATTCGTGCCAATACGAGGAAGATAAAAGGAAATTGGAAAGTATTTTGCGAATTGGAATATCATCTTTAGCTTTGGACTCCTTCTTTTTGAGTGGTTGTTTGATATTTTGCTTGACACTTCCAGTACTCAGAAGAAAGGGATTAATGACATTGCATTCTCTTGTAAGAGTGTTTTTAAGTTATAATAATATTATACGTATGTCTTGTAAAATCAATATCTAAATCTTTATAATATACCGTGGTCTAACATTCTGTATCCTTTTATTTTCTTTTTATATTTTTTTAAATTTATTTATAGTTTGCTGTTGTAGCTTTTGTGTTCTGTGGTCTACTTTTGAACGAGTACCTCGTTATTTCAAGAATCAAAGCAGTTCAAAAAACTACGGTACATCCATGATAACATTTCTATACATGTATCGAAATTCAATTTAAGCCCAGCTTACAATCGATCAAAAATACATACACGTACGGTTTGTCATCATGCTTCTGTCGTTTTCTTTTTATTTTCAGGATTATCATAAATTAAGGAATGATATGTTAGAATCGCTTCGACAAAATTACAGATCTGATATTCTCAACAGCAGTGATATGATATCAAACAGTTGGAACTCCTTCTTTATTAAGGTAAAACACTGCAAAGAAGGAGTATGTCATCTTGTGAAAGACAAAGGTTTGAAGGATCATTAAATATTTTAAAATAGACGTATCTTAGTATCTTAGAAATTAGTATCTCTTTGTTCTCATTATAATAAGTACAATGTTGATTTTGATCGAGAATAATCAAAGGTAAGCTTTGGCGTGGAAAGCAGATACATGTATGCAAGTGATTTTTTTGTACAATCAGGTAATCAACATGGTCAATTTTATCCACTTTTCAAAAGAATTTTCATTCAAATTTATATTTAAAAAATGACTCTTGGTGATCCTTAACATTTGAAATCCATTCATTTTTAATCAACGACTTGCATTGTCTGTATGAAATTAATTCTAGTACGACTGTTGTGCTGTAAAACAAGTAACGAGCACAACAAATGACTTTGATACTACCCCATGGTGTACAACATCCGGATCTTGTCAACAGACGAATTCACAGATTCCGAAGACCTGTTGTAGAGATGTCACTGAAGATGACTACATGAACGCACCTGATAGCTGTCATGCCACCGTCACTGCCGGAACATATAAGGAGGTAAATAGAATATTTTTGTGATCTAAAGGAGATTTTTTTGTCCTCTCTCTATTACCTAGAGTTAATAAACATTGTACTGTTTTAATAAGATATTCTCTATATAATCTTTAAATTGATGTTAATTTTACCTTTAATGTAACCCCTTTATCATGTCTCAATCTTTGAAATTATTTTCGCACATAAATTAGTTAAACAAACATTTCTACAAAATGTCCGATTATTGACCTCGTGATCTTAACTGTGACCTTTGTCCTGTGTTTATAATTGAGTATTACTCAATGTCGATATGCATGTTCTTTTTTTCACTCTTATGCAGTGTTATAAGGGTAAATAAACAGGTTAAAAATGTACTTCCACATTTTTTTTTATAATTTCAAGATAAAATATTCCTTTCTTTGAAATGATAAAAAAAGGCCTTGAATGTTTTCTCTTTGAGAAAAAAAGACTGTAAAGTTGATACATGGTACCCTTTCTTAACCCCAGACGAATCAATAATGAATTGAGGCGGCAATTTTCCTGGTCGCATTGGGTCGCCATTATTGTCATCGTAATCAAATATATGACTGAAAATTTCTTGTATACTGGTAAAATATCGCCTCAATTAAAGAACTATGTTCACTTGAAACATCAAAACCGTTAGCATTCAATAGTTATTTTTAAGCCCCTACCCTCATCTCCTTTACATGTATCTCTGATAACGCAATTCAGGAGATCATCAAATTAAATCATTAGAAATCTTTCTTCCAAACTATCTATAGAAACATTACATTCTGTTTCTTCGTTGAAGTATTTTTTGAAGATTGATCATATTGCTTATATCAAAAGCATATCTCTTATAGATGCATTCAAATTTTCTAATAATTCGAAGAATGAAAGTTTTTTTTTTTTTTAAGATATTATTTCTGAAAATGTTTACACTCTAATCAATTCATTGTTCTTGTATTTTAACTTATGTTCTTTTCGATTCAAATTACTTAATATCGGTCCACATGTTAATACATATTTCTACATTAAACTTTCTTTCTTGCACATCTTCAGTCCCCGATAAGCCATGATTTGTAGAAATTCCTATCCCATCCAAACGTATTTTTTTTCTCCGCAGTGAAAGAAATCACAAATCGCTTGATAAAATGTTTTTTTTATTTTATTACATAAGCATTGTCATCGATAGGATCATCAAGCCTTTAAAAAATTGCATACTTGATATAAAGCACTTACTATAGTGTAAATAGAGATAGAAACAAGGATAACAGCAGAATGACTACCTTTGATATATTAGTGCAGCACAACAATTGCCGTCAAAGTCAAAGGACTTGTAAAATCACTTAATCATCAAATGTGCCAATCAAAGTTCATAGTAGTCACAAATCGAAGCATAAAGTTTCCAATCACAGACATTGGTAAAGCCCCTAACCCTGGAAGGTTCAAAGATAAAATAAAGTTATCCATTAGTATGTTTTACTGGAATTTTTATACATTTTAAACGGTTACTGGTATATCACTCCATAGGTTACTTTAGTTTCTGTAATGCTTGTTCACGGAATAATTGCCCTCTCAAAAGTGAAATAGAAATGTTTAAGGATCTCCGCCACACTTTGGCTCGGGTAGGAGGGGCATACATACTTTATCAGAGCCAAGACTCCTAGGGATGGATAGGAAGTATGACAACAAAATTGAAAGAAACATTTTTCATGAGAAAACAGAGAGTTTCTTGAAAATACTAGAACTTTATGTGGAATGGAAAGCTTACTTTATAGTTGATAACGATACACCTAAAATGTGCAGATAATTATGTAAATAGATAATTATTTTCTTTTTTAGAGCTGTTTCAACCGAATGAAAACATTAAGTGATGTTGCCATGCAAGAATGTGAACTCGATGCACTATGTACCTATGTTTTTACATTGGGAATAAGTAAGGTAATAAATTTCCATCTGAAATTCAAATTACCATGATAAATGTCTTTTTTTTCAAAAGATACTTTTTAAATTATTGTACTTTTTCTTTTTAGCTTGCTGCATTTGTCCTTAGTATTGTGACAGTTCTGATACGCTTTGTTGGCAAGAAAAGGAAAAAAAAAAACACCAACAGACATATACCGAAAATAAGACTTGTCGATTGGAAAAATAGTTAGAAACATGTAAAATATGCCTACATCACTAAAAGTATCATGTTTGAACTGGAATTTCAATGCAATTTTTGGATGGCAATATTTTGCATTAAGCAGAAAACAATTGAAAAGCAATCAAATGCAATAAATTGATGTATTTCATATTTGCAATCGTATGTTATGTATAATAACTACATTGTACAAATGTGTTTCAAAATAGACAGTGATAAGGCCGTATCTTTAGTTTTGAGACGAAAATTGTATTCAAAGCACATTGAGTTCATGGTGGTAAATGTTAAGAAAAGGAATCAGAAAATACAAACATTTTTAAATAAATGCTTTTTTTTTCACCTGTATGTAAATCTATAAGATTTAGAATGAATATTTTTTTGAACATTTTGCACTTGGAATGCATATGCTATATTATATTAATGATGAAGGGAATCATATTGCAATCATATCATAATTATTTCATTTTTAATAGTTAGCTTATTAGTGAAAGTATAAAAAGTTTAATCAGCCAGGATGGATATTAATTTTGTAACAATTACAGCGACTGGATTAAAGAAATGGAGGTCTTAATTCCATGAACTAAAATTATCTTTATTGAGCAAATTGGAATTTGATGTTTGTGCAATGAACTTTAATGTTGCAAATATTAATTGTATTAGATTAGTCAGAAAAGACCGATAAAATCCTTCGATACTAATGTATTACAGGTAGAAAGTGGTTCTTTACCGCACAAATTTTGGTTAATGTATAGTAGTGTATCCTTCATTGGAATAATTAGTATAGCATCTTAAGTAATTAGAAAACCCAAAATAAACGTCTTAAATGAAAATATGAGAGGAAAGTATAACTAATAAAGTGTTTTGAATATGTCAACACGTTGAGCTTGAAATAAGAGAAACCACAGAGTCTGATACATTTGTTGCATATTTGGATATTTTAAGAGAAAAAAAAACGCTAATGGTAATCTAACAACAAAATTTAATGATAAACGTGATGACTTTTAAAATTAAAAAAAAAATTCAATAGTCAACTCCGCTTACTTATGCAGCAATATGCCCTTATCACCTGCATATGGGATTTATGTCTCTCAGTTGATTCGATACACAAGAGCTAGCATACTCTACGTATGAACAATTTCTAAATCGAGGTAAGCTATTGACAAACTAGTTGATGACACAAGAATGTCAATAGTCTCGTTTAAAGTCATCATTTTGTAAGTTCTATGGTCGATACAATGACCTTGTCAGCAAGTACAATCTATCATTAAGTCAAATGCTGACACGTTTTTCATACCAGTTGTTAGATCATTCTTTACAGACTGAATTGTCAACGGATTTTTCCGTTATATCCCAATCGTGCCAAGGAGCACATGGCGGGTGTGACCGGTCGGCAGGGGATGCTCAATCCTCCATAGACCTGATCCCACCTTTGATGATTTAGATGTCCGTGTTTGCTCTGCGCCTGATTTGTATTGTTTGAATGGACTTTTGAGTTTGAATACTGTTCGTTATCTCCATATATTTCATTATAGACTTAACCATTGCTGGCCATTTTTTTTAATGATTGAGTGGTAAACCACCTTAGTTTTCTCTTTAAATTAATAGATTTACATCTGAAATATTAAAACGTTGACAAATATAGTGCTTTACAGCCTTATTTCTACATCTTCTACATGATGTATACCCCAATATCATTCAATAAACTTGCATCTTAAAAAAACAAACATATCATTGAAAAATATTTATTTAAAAAATACCCATGCTAGATCTTCAATATACATAGAAAAATAAAAGAAATATTTGTTTTTAAGAAAAGAAATATAATACGAAATTCGTATATTTTTAAAATACTGTTTGAAAATTACTTGACAGCTGGCTTGATTGTGTGATAGTATGTTAAAGAAACATTTTTTGCTTTAGGTGTATAGATAAATATGTTCGAGAGTTTGATGTATTCCAGATATTAAAGATGTCTCTGTATGCCTGTATGTCGTCGTAAAATCAGAAATATCTATTTTTGTACAAGTTGTCTTTTGATATAAATACAATAAAAACTTTTGAAATTATAGAGATTTTTTTTTTTATATGTTCTTGTTCTACAAACAGGAAATGGAGGTCAAGGTCAAGGCGACATGTAGGTCGGATTATTAATCAAGCCATCGAGAAATAAGTGAAAATGAATATTACTATATTACTAAGTAGGTCATTACATAATGAGTGAATTTCCTATGCTTTGGAGTTTGTGCGACAACCTTTTGAACGTGAGTAAAATGATTTAAAACAGTCTAAACTCTCAAATCATAAAAATTCATCAGGCGAATGACTAGAATGTGACTTACTAGCTATATACATGTATGTGTGCACTGCAGTGATCATGTGTTGTTTGTATTCGTTACATTAGGGCACGTTAGGAAATGACTAAAAAAAAATACAGGATTCTAAAAACCATTCTGATAGTAACAATACCCAATATAAAGGGTTTGAAGTGGGTAACAAGCGGCTTAGATGTGATCTCAGTGAAAGTGATTCTTCCATGGCTACACTAGTTATACTGTAGGTCCCAATTATGACCATGACCTACATAAGCAGTATCTGTCATCCTGAATAATGAAACATTTAAGTCACACATATCTGATGCACTGCTGGAGAAAGTATCCTCTCTCCAGATACAAGCTGAGAGACTAGAATGTCAGTTGGATGACTTAGAGCAATATTCTCGCCGAAATTGTCTTAAGAGTACAGGTGTTACAGACAACAAAGACAAAAATACGGATGATGTTGCCCTAAATATCATGAACAAACTCATCCTAGCTCCAGATAACGAATTCATTTCCACTGATAAAATAGAAAGGACCCATCGTGTAGGAAAGCAGCCGGAGAACCGCCCTCGAGACATTATAGTTAAGAGCCATTCTCTGTAATGACTTGAACTTTTATATAGGAGCTGTGGCACGCATAGTCTCAGAATTTCTCCAAACTCTCTATGATAAAAGTCTTTGATACCGTAAACTCAAATCAGGCAAAAATTGGTTGCTACGTGTCATGGTTACCATAGCAACATGTCCTAAAGTTTAAAAAATGGCATTTTTCAACATGTTCAGAGTCCCTCAGTTAACGTTTGCAGCAAAGCAAACAAGTGGCAATGACTGTTTCTGAAAGCTGAAGGCCTGATGTCTTAAATGCATGATGAACATGTTTGGTAAATCAACTATTACATACGTTACTATGGAAACAAAGTATTCAAAAGTAATAATTTTGTTCATTTAATTTTATAAAGTCATACACTTAAGAATAAAAACAATTATACATTGAAATGCAAGCAAATAATAGACAAGAGATCCTTGTAACATACACCAAGGACGAAATATGATATTTCTTATAGGTTGGCAATGGTTGCCATGGTTTTAATACCACAAAGGGATTTTAAATTTACTCTCTTAGTGTTTTAATCTTATCCTATCTTTTTAAAAAGCACATTTCTATATAACTGATGATCAATTTTTAAAGGCGCTGGTGTGACCCTAATTTTCACATTTCAAAAAATTCAAATTCAATTCTTTAAATGTAGCGTTGCTATGGAAATTAGCCGAAAAATTATGCATAAAAATCTGAAAAATATTTTGTTTCCTTGGATACGTACCCTTGTATGTAGATTCCCAAAACTTTTATGATTGATATATATGAACAACTAACCTGACTTTCAATTTTGACTACCACCCAATCTCTAACTGAATGCAAAAAGCTGGCACATAGGATTTAATATTGATATAAAATTAACAAAATCGAACATTTTCCCTTCTTAGTAACCATAGCAACAGTGTTGTATTTTTCAACAAACTTTATCAATATATGATATTCAACTTTAGTTCTACCAGATAAGTACTATTCAAAGTAGATCAAATAATATTTTTCTTGATTAAATTCTTAAGTTAATTCCTAAAGCAGCAAAAAAATATCACTTTAAACAACTGGTTCGTTGTTTCCATGGTTACACTGCAAAGTAACAATTAATCCAAACATTTCTTATGTGGTTGGTGTTGCAAGGTTGTAAGGATGTATATTTGCCAGTCATGAATATTATTGTTTTTCCTCAAGATAGTAGCATTAACCCAATCTTAGCAACAGATTTTGCATGGTTACACTGTGTTACCATGACAACCAGGAAAGTTATTTTTACAATAATATTGCCAATATCTAATTACTTAAGGTCAAATATTTTTATTGTTTTTCTTCGGTTATTGATTGAGTTTGATCATGTTACAACTATCATTAGTGAATATTGATCGTTTTTCAGCATTTTTCAGCATCTTAAATGTATTCAAAATGTACCCATGGTTACCACTTACCCAGAGATAAATTCTAAGTAGTTTCTTTATAGCATAAGTGGCAACAAGGTGTCATGTTTTTGTGAGAATAGTTTGTTTGTTTTTCTTCGTCTTTATTAAGGCTTAATAAAGATTCAAAGTAGCTGAAAATCTCAATTTTTTCAACTTTTCTGGCTGTTACCATGGCAACCAAGACACATAGCAACGAAATTTTATTTGATATATGTTTCTTGTGTCAAGTTGTAATAATGGGCAAAGTTTCATCAAAATCGGTGACCATGCGTGGCAAAGAAGTTTAAGTGGTTACAGAGAATCGCTATTAAATTTACTTCTCATAGAGACAGAGCACTTGTCTACTCAAAAAAGAGTAATCTGAAGGAATACAATAAAATGAAATGAATGAACACAAAATATTCATTAACTCTGACTAGAAACGAATGGGTCTCCTAATCAACACAAAAAACTTTTGAAAGACAATCTACATGATTCAGTGTGGACCTTTGAAGGGCAAATTATTGCCAAAACCAACACTGGAAAAAATGGACAATTACAAGAGATTCTGATATCGAAAAATTAGTAAATAATGTTATGCGAGGTCCCCTAAACCTCTACTCCGGCGGCCAGGTAAAATGTAATGTTACGTTCAACCGTACACATAAGGTGAAGTTTCAAGGACTTAAGATACATAGACTCCATATTTCTTAATTTTGTATATTAAAATATATGTCTATTGTGGACTGTGCGCCAAGATATATTATTTTTAGTAGTAGGGTTTTTCCCATACTAAGGTTAAAATGTCCTTTAAATAGATATTTAATTATGGAGGCTCATTACACCACTTTTTGATGACGTACTACACAGAAAAATAAACCTCCATTGTTTCGTCCGTTTTCTCTTATGGACGAATTGTACAGGTTCGCTTTGCTGATGATCTAAATCTTTAAAACGTTCTAAAAATAGAACTACATGCGATGCAATGTGAACAAGGTACCGGTTTCATTATAAATCACAAACGAAGAAGGGTTATTTTTAAGTAGAGACCAAAGAGAAAGACGCCCGAATCTTTGCTACCCAAGTAGTGTACAATGTCACAGCGAAAGCAGCAAGTTCTACCACTGACAACATGTACGTAGAGGAAATTCGAGTTGAAATCTACAACCTTGTTGAAATAAATTATAATTGACTTGCGCTTTCAGAGAACTGTTGTTGGTTTGTGTGCTTGTCTTTATTCCTTTAAAAAATGTATATTTATTCTAGAAATTTTAGCTTATTCTGAATCTGATATGTACAACTGTTCCTGAGTGTGTTGAGTCAGGGGGATTTAGAAAAGATAACTCTTGCAAGTGGACTTTTTTTCCCAATTAATTTCTAAATTTTTTTCAGTAGGTCACTTGTTATTCATTAATATTCATTCCTTTTCTATTTATAACTGATTTTCCAAATTATTCATGCAAAGATCAAGAAGAAAATCACATTAATTTTTATTTGGGAGAAAATTATTTTTTCTAATAGAAAAATAATATTGAATAATATGAAGTGTTATTATATTGCTTACATCTGAAGATGATATCCATCACCTGACACTGAGATTTCTGCAATACTATCAATCAGAAACTTGAAATTAAACACTTAACCAAAGTCAGAAAAAAGATTAAAAAAATCTTTAAAAAATATTTATCGTATCATAACCTCCATTTGGATATTTGAAATCTTCATAATAAGTGGTGCTGTAATAAAATCTAAAATAAACTGTGGGTGTAATAAGCCTCCTTAAACACTAGTTTCTTGTATGGCTTACTCCATCAATGCCCAAGGGTTACAGTGTAAATAAGGTACTTCTGTAAATTTGTTCTTACTTTTTTTTATGTGGAACTTATTGGTATAGTTGTGTGTACTTGTCAAATTCGTGTTTTTGTATATATGTTTATTATTCAGTGTGTTTTCATTTTCTTTCCGTTTTGTCTCATTCCAACCACACCGGTTTAATTTTTCTTTTATATACAGCATATTCGATGTACGAATCCATGTCATCCAATTCTAATATTATGATTGTTGGCACAAATGATTTAAGGTACATTGTATGTCACTCGTGAAATTAGTTATATCAAGGATTTTTTTAGAAGTATATTTTAGATAAGTACTCATATAGCATTACTCAAAATCGCAAAGAAAATGGGGGGTCAGTGTACATCTTATTGAGCTACGGTACAATTAAGTTGACCTTTTTGCACTTAAATTGTAACTCTTTGGTTATTCAGTTTAATCTTTATCATTTTTTATCAGATCTAATTATGGCAATAAATATAATCTTATTTTACGTAAAATAGTTTCAATAATATTCATCATTGAACAAATCATGCAAATTAATGCTCATAAATTATTGTGAGACCTTTTTGCACTAAAAAAGTATCATATTTGGGGTATAAAA